TGCCTGTGACTTGCACCAATTAGAACTGCCTGTCTAGCCGTGATGCCTGGTGTATCGGGTCTTGTGGAGGCTAGAAGACATAATTTGTCAATCAAAAGCTGCTGCTTGTGTGTGGTCTGGTGGTGTTTTGTAACTGTCAGCACCTGCACAGCTTTACGTACAGAGGCTCACCCGGTACACGTGCTGGATGTTAGAAATAAAACTACTGAACTGTCCTCTGTGCGTCCTGTGCTTCTTTCCCTGCTCTGAGGGACGGGGTAGCTCGCTGTTCCGGCGGTGTTTGGTGGAGGTTCCTTATGCTCGTCACGCTGCCGCTCGCGGGACTCGAACCCGGCGTTCGGCCGCTGGGTGGGCGGGCCGCGGTTGGGGCACGGTGGCGGCGCGCCGTGACGTAGAGCCGCAGGGCCGACGTGGGAGCCAGCGCGGCGGACCGGAAGCGGGCGTGGCGCAGAGCGACGCACTTCCGGCGGGGAGCTGGCGGCGGAACGGGAGCGGGGTCGCCGCGGCCGGAGGTGGGCGCCGGGCCGGAATAGGCCGAGGGAGGGCCGGACCGGGGGGAGGAGCTCGGGAGAAGGGGGACTTGGAGCAGAGGGGGGCGGGCCTGGCCGCGTCACTGATCCCGGCTGCCGCTGTGCCCCGCAGGCGCTCGATCGTCAGCGATGTCTTTCATCTTCGAGTGGATCTACAACGGCTTCAGCAGCGTGCTGCAGTTCCTGGGTGAGGCCCCGCGGCGCGGTTCCCTGCGGCCCTCCGGCCGCCGTTGCGGCTCCTTGCAGATGTCGTTCGTTCGTTCTGGGCGAGGGGAGGGGTTGATGGTTAGGCCCCGCTGGCAGGAAGCCGGCCGGCCCGGGGCAAGTGGGCTCTCTCCTCCAGGAAGCGATGTGTTACTCCGTGCCTGGCCTCGGTGTCGGCAGCGTGCTGATGCATTCGGCCCATCTTCACGTTGAACCCCTCTCTGGGGCAACAGATCATCATGTTACCATACAGCGAGCTCACAGAGTTGCAGGCACTGTTTTACCAAGATTCGTGGCTTTTATTTCTTCTCGGAGCACTGTGAATGGTGAATGCACAGGTGGCAGCCAGCTTTGGGGAGGGACCCATGGACGTGTTTCTCTCTGCTTGCCTCCAGGGCTCTACAAGAAGTCTGGAAAACTCGTCTTCCTGGGCCTGGATAATGCGGGCAAAACCACGCTGCTGCACATGCTCAAGGACGACCGGCTGGGCCAGCACGTTCCCACACTGCACCCCAGTATGTCTGCCCTGTGCACCAGTGACAGCTCTGCTCTGGGGCTAATGTGAATCGGTGTTTTACTTTCAAATATAGCGGCCAAGAAGTGGTGTGGGTTAGTGAATATCACACACCACACCTGGGGAAGGAGAGGGCTTCTGATAAAAAAAAAAATAAAATCCCAGAACATCCCAAATTGGAAGGGAATCTAGGAATCATTGAGCCCAACTCCTGGATGTGTGATAAGGGATAAGAAACACAGATTAATAAGCACGTCCCTAAGTAAGAGGCATGGAAGTTATTTTCTCCCATTTGTGAAATCATTGAAGAGTTTCAGTGGCTGAGTTCATCAGGGAACAGGTATCTGACACAAGGGCCACGTGATGCTGGTGCACATCCCCAAGAACCACTAGCTATAATAATTCCTTTCTTTTTTCTGTGTTCTTGCTTTCCAGCCTCAGAGGAGCTGACAATCGCTGGAATGACCTTCACCACTTTTGATCTAGGTGGCCATGAGCAAGGTAAGTGCCAGCTCACTGAGGAGGGTCTGCTGATTTCAATTGTGTTCCCCAGCCACTTTTGGAAAAATCTCCCAAAATGAGGTGCTGGAGGGTGAAGGGAATTGGCAGTACCTAACTGCTTGTAGCTTGAAAGCCGTGGTGGAGTCAGAAAGATCAACACACTGGAAAGGTGATATAAGTGGTATAACGATAGAGGGACTAACACCATAGAAAGATATTATAAGGGAAGGAAAAAAGACTACTCACCTGTCTCTGAAGATCTAGGGTCACAGAAGAAAACTCTCCAGAGGAGAGATCTCCAGAAAGAGATCCTTCCCCAGTGGCAGTCAGCCTTTAAATGGGGTCTAAGAGAGGTGCAGCCAGGCTCCACCCCTTCCGGTCACACAGCTGAATTGCCTTCACCTGTGCTCCCAGGGCTGACTGGGTCCTTTCGACAGGTGGTCAATCAGTGGTTCAGGCCGTGACTCAACAGTTACCATACACTGAGCTATTAGTGGAAATGGCTTGGCTCTAAGAAACTGGTTGTTTCAGTGGCTAAATGTTTGTGCTTTATTTTGGCAGCTTGGAAAAAAAAAAAAAGCTGCCAGCTCACGCTCTGCTGCCTGCCATATTTTTAGTTGTAGAAGGCTTGTATGTCACAGGCTTATTCTTCTGAATATTCACTGCATTTTTATCTTCAGATTTCCTTTCTAGAAGTCCTAAGAAAAGTTTTTCTGTGTTTTTTTCTGAATACACACAAGCAGGCTGACGATCAGGGGTTTTGCTGCAACAGGAACAGTGCTCGTCAATATTGCATAGACAGACTCTCTGTGCACAAGAGTTGGTTGCCTGCTGACAAGCGTCTGTCACCCAGCAATTATCTGACTGCTTGTGAAAGCGGGGAGAGCATGAGCAGGACGGCTGGCTGGCTCTCCCAGCCTGCCCCAAAATCCCGAGGGGGCAGTGGGGCTCTGCTGTGGGCACAGCAGCCCAGCTTTTCTCACAGGAGGTGTTGGTCTCTTGCCTTCCAGCCCGCCGGGTGTGGAAGAACTACCTGCCTGCCATCAATGGGATCGTCTTCCTGGTGGACTGTGCAGATCACTCCCGGCTTATGGAATCCAAAGTTGAGCTTAATGTAAACTTCACTTTTTTTCTCCTTTCCCTGACACTTTCGACTAGCTAAATTATAAACAATGTTCCTTTTTGGTGGGGTGGGACTCGAGGCAGCCTCGATGCCCTTGCTGTGGGGTGACTGTAGGCTCCTGAGCACACTTTAAAGAATTTCAGAAATGGCCCATGCGTCCTGCAAAGCCCTTCTGGGAAGACCCCTCCCACGGGAGCTGTAGCACCAAGGAATAACCCTTGTCAGTCACAGAGCTTACCGAAACAAAGCTTTCCTCAGATGACAGATATTTGTTCTGCCTCTGTGTAACTTAAAGATGTCTTGCACGCAGGCACTAATGACAGATGAAACAATATCCAATGTGCCAATCCTTATCTTGGGCAACAAAATCGACAGACCCGAGGCCATCAGTGAGGAGAAACTGCGGGAGATCTTCGGGCTTTACGGACAGACCACGGGGAAGGTAGGGAGGCACGCGGTCTGGGCACTTACAAGTACATGTTCCTTGCAGAGGGAGGTGCCCTCTGGAAGCCAAGTGGTTTGTTCCTGTGGATTTGTCCTAAACGTTTGACTGGGCTGAACCTTTAATAACAGTGATGCCCTCGGGCGAGTTTTGAAACATCCCGAGTTGTGCAAACACAGCACCCCTAGTTGGAAATAAGGTGCTGCGCTGGAGTTTGACAACAGTTGACACATTATCAGGCTCTTCTAGTTTTATTACTCCCAAATTTTGTTCAGCTTACTGCCTCACCCCATTGTCAGTTCTAAAAATTAAAGTTGATCAGAAGTGCTGGGTGACAGCGGCAAAGAACTCCGGGTGCTTGCTCAGCCGCTGGCTTTGGGAATCGCCTTGGGCTGGCCGTGCTCCTGATTTGTCTCTGGGCCTTCAGGGAAACGTGCCACTGAAAGACCTGAACGCGCGCCCCATGGAGGTGTTCATGTGCAGCGTGCTGAAGAGGCAAGGCTATGGCGAGGGCTTCCGCTGGCTGTCGCAGTACATTGACTGATGCAGAGCGCGACCCCGGACTGATCCTGCTCGCAGCTCCCTATGGACTGTCCTGTCGGGACACAGAAGGCTTCCCAACCCCAGAGCGGCGCGACCGTGGGACCTGGTGAGCGCCCATCCTTGCACAGTGGTGACACAACTCCTTTCTATGCTGCGGGGACGCCGCGTGGCTCTGTCCCTCGGGTGCCACGGTTCCAGCAGTGACACGGCCGGCGGGATCAGGACGTGGCACCGCTCCGTGCCGCTGGAAGGAGCGCGTCTCACCACTGTGGCCAGCTGACTTCAAGAACAACGAGAAAGCAATTCTATTTTTTAAAGAAAGTGTTAATGTAAACGGCGTCCCTTCTAACTCTTTAGTTTTAACGTTCATCTTGTTTAGTCCAGAGTCTCTGTAGGGTTTTTTAAAAGCATATTTAGACTTTTTGCAAAATTACAAACACAGCATCATGATATGGAAGTCCTCGATGAGCAGCAGCCGGCTCCAGCACTCCATGGGATGCCCACACGGTGCCACGCCGACACAGCGAGGGTCTGGGACAGCACGTGTGGCACAGGGCTGCAGCACTGCCTGCCCTCGGAGCGCCGCTGTGGGACCACGGGGCCGCCGGCAGCGGCTGCAGCATGGAAGCGTTGGACGCTGGCATATCATAAGGTTGTTAGTGTAGGCCGCAGCGGTTTCTTTTCTACTCAGTGGGTTTTTTGTCGAAGTTTCCTTGCTGTCTAGCTCACGTTGCGTTCAATAAAGACGTGTCTTTCTGCTCTCAGGGTGGCAGTGCCCAGCAGGTGTTTCACCCACTGGCTTCGTGGAGGTGCACGAGTGCAGCTGGCTGCGGGCACCTCCTGCCCCTGCCGCTCGTCAGCAGTCACCACTTTCTGCGCTTCCAGGAGTTGAACGTTGTACGACGGGGGCAGAGTTTAACTTCTGCGTTCGATCCTGCAGGTGGAGACACAGAAAAAGCAGCGTGGGCGCTCCCTACTGCTTTGCATGGCGCAACCCCGTGCAGCGCCGCCTACCGTGGTGCAACGCCCCGCCCGCGCCCGGCCTCTCGCCACGTCGGCACGCTCAGCCCCGCCCTCACCAATGGGGTCGGGCCGCGGAGCTGCCGGTGGCCAATGGGCGAGCAGGGCGGTGCGGGGCTGTGCGGCGCTGTGCGGCCATGGTGGCGGTGGGGCGGCGAGTCGCTGTGCTTTGCTTTGCCTCCGGTTGCTCTGCGTTGCTTGAGTTGCGGCGTGTTGCGTCGCTCTGCGTCGTTCTGCGTCGCTCTGCGTTGAGTTGCTCCGCGTCGCTTCGCTCTCCATCGCGTTGCTCCGTGCTGCATTGCTCTGCAGATGGCTGAGGACGGCACCGCGGTACCATGGGAGCTGCCCGGCTGCGTGGTCAGTGTGTCGGACCCCTCGGAGCCGGACGTGGAGCCAAGCAGTTGCAGCGGGGCCATCCTGTGCCGCAGCCCGGGCCTGGTGCTGTGCCCTGCTGCCATCTTGGTGCCCTTCCTGCAGCCCGACGTCACCGCCTGGCCCCACGGCGATGCCCTGCCACCCTCGGCGTTGCGGCCCGGGCTGCGCATCTCGGTGCTGCAGGCTGCCCCACCACCTGACACCGTGCAGCGGCACGTCGCGTGCCCGCTAGCCCTGCTGCGCTGCGATGCCTTCGCCCGCGCACTGCCTGGCACGCTCAGCACGGCCGAGGAGAGCACCGAGGCCCTGCCCTGGTTCTGCTGGCTGCGGGTGCCCGGCCTGGACACACCTGGCGGTACCTGGACGCCCTGGGCCCCGGCAGCCACGCTGCACAAGGGCGCGGCGCTGCTGACCTGTGGGACGCCCTTCGGTGCGCTCTGCCCCGAGCTCTTCCTCAATGCGCTGAGCACCGGTGTGCTGAGCAATGCCGCCGAGCCTCACCGCGCCCTGCTGCTCACCGATGCACGCTGCCTGCCCGGCACTCAGGGTGGGCCCGTCCTCGCCCTCGCGCCCGCATCCTCCCCGCCGCGTCTCGTGGCCGTCGTTGCTGCCACTGCCGGCTGCCAGGGCGGCCAGGGGCTGGGGCTGGCGCTGCTCTGCTCCCTGCACGCCCTCCTGCAGAGTGCCCGCGGAGTGCTGCCCGAGCTCGGCAGCCTGCCTCCGCCACTGCCGCTGCCCGAGGCCCACGGCACCCCAACACTGCGCTGCGCCGTGCTGGTAGAGAGTGGGAGCAGCTGGGGGTCGGGCACGCTGGTGGCCCCGCGGCTGCTGCTCACCTGCCGGCATGTGCTGCAACGGGGCGCCCCGCTGCGCGTCACCCTGCGGCACAGCACCACGTGGTGAGTGTGGCCCCGTGGGATGATGGGGGCTGGGGGTGGGCAACGTGTGATGGGTGTGCAACCCAACGTGGTGGTGAAACCCAACATGAGTCTCGCAATGGGCGTGTAACCAAGCGTTGGTCGTGCAACCCAACATCGGTTGTAAAACCCAGAATGGACCATGCAATGTGCATGCCAACCAACATGGGCCATGCAACGGGTGTGCAACCCAACATGGTTGGGTATCGCGACGTGAGCCATGCAGTGGGTGTGTAACCCAACGTAGGCTGTGCAATGAGTGTGCAACCCAACATAAGCCATGCTATGGGTATGCAAGCCAGTGTAGTTGTGCAACCCAACATGGATCGTGCACAGGGTGTGTAATCCAAAACCCAGCATGGGTCATGCAACTCAGCATGGGCCATGTTATGGGTGTGCAACCCAAAGTGGTTGTGCAACCCAACATGGGCTGTGCCGTGCAATGGTTTTGCAACCTAACATGGGTCTGCAACCCAGCAAAGGTCGTGCAACTCAGCATGGGCCACGCAATCTGAAATAGGCCGTGCAATGAGGATGCAACCCAAAATAGGTCATGCAATAAATGTAAAGAGCTGGGCCACTGCAGCAAAGAGCTTCTTCCCTTTGGCCACATCCAGGTTTGGAAGCAATGTAAGATGAAGTGCAGGGTGCAACTTGCATTTTTGCAGACCAGACTGTTCAGCATCCCCATGGCCACGTTCATGGGATGGCTCACCCCTAACCCTGCTTTTTGCTATTTTCTTTATTTTATCCCCATTTTGCACCCACAGTGACACTATCCTGCAGGCCCGCCTGGTGTTCGCCACGACTGAGGCGTCCCCCTTTGACGTGGCAGTGCTGGAGCTGCAGGACAGCGTGCCCAGCTTCCAGCCCCCTGACCTTGCCACCACTTTCCAACCCGGTGAGTGCCAGCTTCAGGTTGGGGGGGTACAGGGCACAGTGGGTTGCCATGGAGGAATGGGGCTGGGACAGTGGCATCCTATGGGGACAGTGGGGTCCTGTGTAGGGGTGCCATTAGAGGTGTGATGGAATGTCCTAACGCCGATGGTGTGGTGCAGGGGAGGCAGTGCTGGCGCTGGGTTTTGGGGCACTAGGCCGTGCGTGTGGCCCCTCAGTGACGGGGGGTGTGCTGTCGGCCGTGGTGGGAACCCCCCCGGTGATGCTGCAGAGCACCTGCGCCGTGCACGCTGGCTCCAGTGGCGGCCCCCTGCTCTCTGCTCGCGACGGATGCCTGCTAGGTGAGCCCCTGTCCCCACTGCATCCCCAAAGTGTCCCCATTGCGTTAATGCCTTTGGTGACATCTCCCTCCTCCAGGCATCGTGGCCAGCAACGTGCGGGACAACGCTGCAGGGACCACCTACCCACACCTCAACTTCTGCATCCCCATCTCCTTGCTGCGCACACCCCTTGCCCGCTATCGCTGCAGCGGGAACCCTGCTGCCTTCGCCCCACTCAATGCTGCCAGCAAGGGGGCACAGGCAGCATGGCGGCTGCAGCAGTGGCCCCCCAGCAAGCTGTGACCCCTCCCCCAGAATTGGAGTGCTTCCATAAAAGCCCTCATCTGAGCCATGGAGTCCCTGGTGGTGGCTGGGGTCAGCAAGACGTGGTGGCCCCCCAAGCGGGGCATATCTGGGGACAGAGCCCTAGGTAGGGGGCTGGAAGGGCCAGGAATGGGCATGGAGCGTTCGACACAGCACGGGCGTTTATTTCACAACACCGCAGCAGCAAGCACAGCACGGACAGGGGGTCAGGGGCATGGGGGGGATAGGTGGGGGGGAAGGGTGTTGGTGGGTTGGGTTTTTTTTTGCTTTTTTCCCATTTTTTTCCCAATTTTCGTTTATTAGTGCACTTTCTGACCACGCAGCAGCACGCTAGGTTCTACTCCCCTACCGCCCACCCCCCCCCAAAAAAAAAATAAATTAAAAAAAAAACAAAAAAAAACCCCAACGGGGGGGGGGGTAGGGGGCATGAGCTCAGCCTCGCACTGCTTGCCCCCCGCCCGCCTTGGGGCCCGCCCGGGCGAGCGCCCCACAGCCCTGTCCCACTTGGAGCTGGGGGCTGCCCCTGCGCTCTGTGCCAGGGGGCAATGGGGTGACAGGGGCTGCCCCCAGCCGTGCCCCCCCCCCCCCGCCTCTACCAGATGTAGCCACCATCATCTCCTTCACCCGCCTCAGCCTCCTCCTCCTCAGCTTCCTCTGTTGCTTCCTCAGGCTCCTTCTCCTCCTCATCCTCCCAGCCCACGCCACTGCCGAAGTCTCCTGAAAACCCCACTGCGTCCTCTGTGAGCACAGGGATTACTCAGTGATGGGGCCCCCCCAACCACTTGGGGATGTCACCACACAGTCTCCCCCAGCTCACCGCAGTCGGGATGGCCATGGGAGCGGGTGCCGCTCAGCTCAGTGCCGTGCTGTGGATCCACGCACCAACACTGTGCGCCGCCTGGTTCACACTGCGCCCGCTGGTAGTAGCCGTCCTCATCGCAGCTGGGTACGAAGGTGCCTGCAAAAAAACGGGTCCCCAACGCACCCCAGAAGACGTGCAGTGCCCGGACCCCCTGGCATGGAGCACCCCAGCCCCACCGCATCAGAGGGGCCAGGACTCCCTGGGACCCCAACTCACCGGGCTGCACATTGGCTGCCTCCTGCATCTGCAGCCGCTCCAGCTCCCGCAGGCACGGTGGCTCTGCAGCATCCACACACGTTCAGGGGCTGGCCCCATGGTATGAGGTGCATCCCCAGAACCCCGTGGCATGCATCCTCTCTGCACTGCATGCACCCCCCCATCGTATGCATCCCTTGACTCTCCAATGTGCATCCCTCCGTGGTGTGTATGCATTTCCCTGATGCTGCGCAATGCACCTGAGGACCCCATGGCATGCATTCCCCCAACCCCATAGCGTGTATCCTCCCTGCACTGCATGCTGTTGTGCACGCAATGCTGTGCAGTGCATCCCCCCAGCACCACCCCCCCTGTATTGCATGCATCCTCCCTGGTGGGCATCCCCAACCCTGCAGCATGCATCCCCTCAATGTTCTGCATCTCCGAAACCCTATTATTCACATCCCTCCCCTCTGTCACACCCCAAAACCCCAAGGCACGCACCCCCCCATTACCCTGCAGCCACACGCACTTTCTCTCCAGAAGCAGAGGCACCACTCGGCGGCAGTGACGCGCCCATCACGGGAGGTGTCGCAGGAGTTGAAGAAGGCGCGGATGCACGCCTCGTACTTGTCCAGGTTGATGGCAGCCAGCTCGGGCTGCTCCAGGACGCGGTCCCCACTGGTGTCCAAGCGCCCGAACATCCACCCCACTGCCTCCTTGCAGCCGGCCGCCAGCGCTGTGGGCAACGATGCCACCATTGGACCCGGCCCCAAAGGGACATGGGGACAAGGGGGATGTGGGGTTGGGGTTGCACCGGTGCCGGGGGTCCCTCCGGAGGCGTTATGCTTGGCGTTCTCACGCAGGAGCTGGAACCAGTCCCGCAACCGCTCCCCCAGATCGGCCAGGTCCTGCCCAGTGCACGGCTCTGCGGGGAGGGAGGTCACGATGAGGTGGGGGACACCCCCACACTGCACTGACGCACCACTCCATTGCGTGTGTCCCCAAATTGCACCCCCGTGCCACACAAGGGCATCCCCAAATTGATGGGAACACCTGCACATTGCATGGGTGCACCGCTACATTGTGCGGACGCACGGGGGCACCGCCACATATTGCACAGGTGAATCCCAAAATCACCCTCCCATGGCACGCATGCAAACGCACGCCCCCCCCACTCACCCTGCGTGCTGCCGGGGGTGGGGCAGGGGCAGTGCCCATCGCAGCGCGCCGTCAGCTGCTTGCCGGCCAGGCACGCCTGCTGCTCCAATTTGCACTGGGGACACAGCGTGGCGTCACGGGGGGCTGCAGCGCCACAACCCCCCCATCCCCGCGCTTACCGCAGAGCTGTACGTGTGTCCGTCGGAGCCGCAAACGGGCGCCGGGCGGGCGGAGTGGCACGGCCTGCAGCCCCCGTGCTGCTTGATCCTGAAGGGGAGAGCCACGCTGAGCTCCGTCTCCAAATGAGCTCCGACTCCAAATGCGTACCTCCCCCGCCCTCCCCTCCGCCCCCCAGCTCCTACCTGTGCTCCAGCTTCTTGCGGCTGACGCAGACGGCGCGCTGCGGGCCCTGCGGCACGCACACCTTGTGCCGACTGCACTTCACCTTCTGGCACGGGTCCTTGGTGCTGTCCTCTCCTGGGGAGCAAGGCGAGGAGGGTCGCTTAGGAGCCCCCAGGGAATGCAGCCGCGCACGGCTACGGCTGCCAGAGGCTGGGACGGGGCCGCGCTCCCCCCTCCAGCCGACACCAACCCCCCCCTCGGTACCTTCATCCGGGGGCTGCCCGTCCTCCCAGCTCCGGATGTAGTCGTCCTGCGGGCACAGCGCAGGGTGGTGCAGTGCACGCAGCCGCTTCACGCGGGGTGCGCTGCACACAGGCGGGCACCGCGCGCGCACGGACGCCGCACGTGCACGGGTACCGCACACGGCCGGGCGCCGCACAGACGGGCGTCGTGCACACAGGTGTGGATCACGCTCACGCACCGCACGCGGCAGGGCATGGCGAGCTGCGCACAAGCACGGGCACCGCACATCCACCTGCTCGCCGCACACGCCTGCGAGCACCGCGCTATGCACCCCCGTGCGCTCCGCACGCACCCGCGGCACACGGACGTGCATCACGCACACGCACACACGCGGACACACGCGTCGCCCGGCCCCGCGCGCCGCACACCGCCACACGCTCACACGGACACCCGCGCGTGGTGCAGAGCGCTGCCCGGCACAGACCCGCGCACCGCGCACCGACGGCGGCGCGCCGCCCCGCTCACCTCCACCTCCTGCAGCGCGGCGCGGGGCGGCGGTGGAACAAAGCGGAGCGGAGGTGAGGACGGGCGGAGGGCATCACCCCGCGCCCGCCCCCACCCGCGCCCCGCACTCACGTCTCGGAAGCGGTTCCAGTGCCGGATGCGGCCGCCGTACTGCGCGATGGAGGACAGCCACTGCTCGTCCTCCAGGAAATTGCCGCCGGGCGCGGGGCCGGGGCCGGTGGCGGCGGCGGCGCCGGGCAGCAGCAGCGCGGGCAGCAGGGCGGGC